TAATCCACTTGTAGATAGATTTTGAGTATGATTTAGATAATCATGAATGTCATTTTTCATTTGTTCATCAGTAATCTCATTAACCAAAGAATCGACAATTTCAAATTCTTGACATTTGTCCAATTCAAAAGTTCTAAAACAACCCCATTTGTAGGATCTGGCAAAATTTGTTTTTTAAATTATGAATAGTAGTAGTTTTTTATTTTTTATATGGGGGTCCTTAATTTGCCCCAAATTTTATTTATTTTTCTAAAATCAGCAGCATGATTGCGCGTTTCTATAAAAATATTTAATAATTTATTTAGTCTTTAAAAATTAAGCTAATTATTCTATAAAGATTTGGCAAATATTAAATTAATTATTAATAATATTAAAAATAAAAAATAAATAAATAAATAATAATGTTGTTGTTGTAAATGACTCATCATCAACTCTATTAATCATCAAGAATCATATGATAATTCATAATTAGTTAATGGTAAAGCTTTGAGTGGATGTGGTACTAAAGCACATGAAATATTGCCCCACCATTTATCACAATTTTCTTTATACCATGTGACTTTTTAATTTTTTATTGATAAAAAAATATTAATATTAATTATAAAATTTCTATTATTACAATTATAATTATTAGGTATCAACCTTTGGAATAAGAAATAAACTTAAACCAGTAAATCAACAAACTTTATTAAAAGATCAAAATTTTGCGAGTCCAAGTAAATTTAATTATTTGCATAAATCGTTTATTATATCAAATATAATTGACCACCCAATACAGATTTCTTTATTTTTTCTTTCTAAATTTTTAATACTTTTTTTATGTTTATAGAAAATATTATAGAAGTTTATGAAACATTTCAAAATTCAGTTAAAATGCGAATTCAATACATTATGACAAAAATGTCTGAATATATTGAAGACAAAGATACTGAAGCGGTTTTATTAAAACCAATACAAGTAAGCAATTTTTTTTTATATTTGATATTTATTCCTTCATAACTAATTTCATTAATATTTCTCCTTTGTTTTGATAACTAGCATCATATTATAGTATCATATCATGCATTTTATGATATATTACTGATTGAAAAATATGAATTTGAAAATTTTCCTAAGCCAATCGCAAATGTTGAAGAGTTTCAATATTGGATGGCTAAAGAGTTATCGTTAGATTATGAGTTTGAAGATAACTATGAATATTATGACGAGGATTATGATGCCGGGAATGGTAGTGATTATAACAACAATAATCACAACTATGACAATGATTACGATAATAATAATAATAACAACAGCAACAACTTTACTAATAATGACGATGTGATTTATAATTAATATTGATTGAATAGCATACTAATTTTAATTTTTAAACACTAATGTTAACTTATTTATAATTTATAATTAATTAATTATTATTCATTTATAGATTTTTTTTTTTATTTTTTAAAAAGAGAATTAAATAATTTATTAAATACATAATTTATAAGAACCTCACAGCAAATTTATACAGTTTCCACATCAAATTGAATTGTATAGTCAATCATAGATATATATAAAATTTTATATTAAATAATTATATTTAAATATAAATATATATATATATATATATATATATATATATATAAACATTTCATCAACTTACATTAACACATTGATAAAGCTTTGAAAGTACATATAATGTACGTTGTAATGTAGGAAACCATCCATGATATATTCCACCTGTATCAGCAGGATTTATGGAAAATTCAGTATTGGTGTTGTTAGTGGTGGTAGAGTTGATGCTAACATTGGTGATAGATTTATCATCATCATTTTTCTCTAGCATTGGTGGTGCTGATAAAGAACGTTGTAGAAGTTCTTTTGGGTATTCTTCAGCAGTCACAGCTGATAATAATTTATCATTCAAAGCTAAAATATAAAACATACATGTATAAATATATATCAAATAATATAATTAATATAATGCAAATGTTAAAT